GGGAATGGGGGCTCGTTTTTTCTTGGGTTTAGGGATATTCCCCTTGACTTTGCCGGGTGTAGGGACTGGACTTTAACAAGCGAGGCCACTGTCCCCTGCTTTGCAAAACAAACAGAGCGCAGCTCGGCCGGGAGCTGGGTGCGGGGCATGGGAAGGGTGTTTGTTGTCCTGCAGCGCCGGCGTGGGTGCGGTCTACAAAAAGCAGCTGCGAAGCCTTCTAGGGTGAATTAGTTGAAGGGCTTAAATGAAGCCGAAGCCAGCCTCGAGCAGGTCTTGTTTAAAAGAGGCGCAAGCCTAATCTGCGCCACGGTGATCCTGAGCGTGAAAGATCTGGTTCGTGCAGGAGTTTCTGTGCTGCTGCTGCTCGTCTGCGCTGGCTTGCACCGAGTCCGGGGCTCTGGCTGCCGGGGGATTAAGCAGTAATCCCCTCCTGACACTTGGATGGCCCTGTCAGCTCCGATTTCCTCCCCGCGAGGGTGGCCCTGCAAACACCTCGCTGGGACCGTGCCATTCCCTGATAGCTCAAACCCACCCCCACCCCCCCCATGTTGTGTAGGGCTGAGGGGAAAAAAGATGAGCTGCTTCCAGGGCTGGAATCTGGGGACTCTCCTGTATAGCCAAGCCGTGGTGGGTGCCGTCCACCCGGTGTCGCTGCCTCTGGCTCTGCTGGGACCAAACGAGTAAGCCCAACTGATCCTGCCCAGCACATCCCATCGCCCAGCACATCCCATCGCCGTCCCCAGCCCAACCCAACACAGGTCCTGGGGAAACCTGTCAAGTCAGTGACTTCTTCTAGCCTAAATCCTTCCTTAAAACCTGCCAGTGCTGACGCCGGGGGATGGCTTACACAAGCCTCTGTGTTACCAGCTGCATCCTGCACCCATCATGTCAGCGAGAGGGGAGGCGAGAGCGTGCAGTGCTCCTGAGACCGAACCTCCTGGGGACGGCAGAGGAAGCCCGTGTCCCCGCGGCTGCCGCCCACACCTGGCCCCGGCGGCTTGCTCGGTTTTCCGGCTGCTTTGCAGCTCGGGGTGACGTTAGGAAACGTCTCCTCTTTAAAGTTTAACTTTGTGCTGCTGGCACGCTCGGGGTGACCATCCTGGAGCTGTCCCTGCTCTCAGGGCGCCGGGGCTTGTCCAAACAAAACTGCCTCGGTGCTACCCTCTTCCCGGCTTGGGAAGTAGCAGTGGCAGGAGAGCAGGGCCGGGGCTGCAGGGCACAGCCACCTCCGAGGAGCTCCAGCCCTCAAATTCCAGGTGCAAACCATCCTGCTCTCTTGAGAGTCAGGGTTTTTCCTCTTGCTTCGAGATAACGCCCGGTGGCGGCTTCTGGGGTCCAGAGGAGCCTCCTCCGGCCCCGGGGAAGGTGACCAGGGGGTGGTTTTCTCTTTCAGAGGATTTACTACCTCTCCCTGGAGTTTTACATGGGGCGGACGCTGCAGAACACCATGATTAACCTGGGGCTGCAGAACGCCTGCGATGAAGCCATCTACCAGGTGAGCATCCCAGGGGGTCGGTGAGGACCTGGACCGGGACGGCTCCACACTCTCCGGCTCCTGGGGGTGTTCGTGTTTTACCGCGCTGGCTGCAAACCACTCCCTGAGCCGCAAGCGATGCCTTAGTGGATAAACGCTGCTCCAGGACCTGCTCTCGAAAGGCCTGGGGCCACAGCCGGCGCTTGCAGCCTGACCGGGGCTGCCCAGCCCGGCGGCTGTGTGCTGAGGGATGCGGCACGGTGCTGCTGAGCACCGGCAGAATGGAGGCTCAAGCCCATAAATTGCAAAGAAACTCATGGTTCTATGCATGAGGCCATTAATAGCTATAACTAATGGCAGAGGGGAATAAAACCTTGGCCTAACTCAACTCCAGCCTGGCGCTGGCACCACGTGGCACTCGGGTTGTCGAAGGTTTTTGGGTGGCTCCTTTCCACCCCACCCTGTGCTTGCACCCCTTGTGACCAACACTGTTGTGCGTGGCTGGGGCAGTTGCACAACAGTAGGAGCAGCTTTCGCGCAAACACGTTCAGAGGAGAGGAACTTATTTTTAGGGTGTTTTTTATTTTTTTCTCTGTTGACCTTGCAATGAGGGTGGCAGCTTGGCTGGGGGTGAGGGTGGAGGGGAAGAGCCTGGGATGCTGCATGGTGGTAGCCTGGGGAAGCAGAAGGTGTGAGGTTATTTGAAAATCATCCTCTTTGCAGCGGTGGCAGGTAAAGCTCTGAGGGAAATCCTCCTTACTGCGTATGCTGAGCCCCCTGGACACGAATGCCAAACCTTTTTATTTTAGAAAGTTTGGCATAATACAAATCAGTTAAGATAGGCTGCCGATGAAATTCAGGGCTGTGCAGCCTAGTGCCGTGAAACACCGGCGAGGCTGCGACTGGTGCTGGTGCTCCCGGACCTCTCTGTGACCGTCTGGTTTGGGAGAAGGTGCTGCCCACTGACACGTGAGCGGTGCAGGGTCCAGCCCTCCCACACGGGTGGCTGTGGCACCGGGGTTGTCCCGGCTTACTGTGACCATGGGACACGGGGGGGGGGGGACGGGACGTCGGACCAAGAGGTTTCCGTGGGAAAAGGTGGCTCAGCCCTGGCAAGGCACCGTCTTATTTCCCGCTGAGCTGCCTGCCCGAGGAGCTTTGCATAGGCAAAACTTCTTCCTTCCGCAGCATCCCAGGCTGGAAACTTTAAATTTCCTTGTAAAAGTGGTGTAGCTGCTTCTCTGGGCATCTCTGTTAAAGGGCGATGTCTGGAGCCAGGGGGACGGGCACCTGGGTGCCTGCCCCAGGGGGATGGGGGTGCTGGGGGAGCAGGAGCATGGTGCCTGCCACCGTGGGGCTGCAGCCATGGGGCTGGGGCACGGAGAGAGGGAACGGGCCCGGGAATGAGCCCTGGGAGACCTGCCCGAAATGTCTGGGACCATGAGAGCAGCACCCTTGTTATGGCTGAGTGCCCCCCACCCCCAGGATCTCATCCACAGCGAGGTCAAGGTCTGGTGTGTCCCTTGTAAAGGCTGGTGGAGTGACTTAAACAGCAGAGCTGGTCCCTGACACAACGTGAAGTGGCAGTGGAGAGGAGGGACCGCGTTGGATGCAAATCCCCAGCTGCAGGGATGGGTCTTGCAGGCTCGGGTGCCTTTTCACCCCTCCTAGAGCCCACCCGCGAGGGGGGACAGCGGCGGTGGGCGCAGGGCAGCACCCAGGGGTGCGTGTACCAGCAGTGCCTCCCCTCCGCGGGGCTGAGCACTCTGAGAGCCTCCAGCCCGTCACCTTCTTCTCATCTGTAGCTCGGGCTGGACATGGAAGAGCTGGAGGAAATCGAGGAGGATGCCGGTCTCGGCAATGGCGGTCTCGGCAGGCTTGCTGGTGAGTGAGCCCCCAAACGGTCTCGTTGCCTGGGTGGTGGGGCACAGCCCTGGAGCCTTTACCCCCCCCACGGTGGATGCACCTAAACCTGGGGGGGTTTATGGCTCCAGCCTTTCCGTGCACGGGGCAAGAGGCGCTGGGTGGCCGGGGAGTGAGCGGTGGCTGCTGGCCCTGGCTCGTGTCTCTGCGGGGTGGCTGCTTGCGGCCATCGGCTCTCCACGGGGAGAAGGACCCGCTGCCTTCCGGGGCTCCTGGCCCCCCGGGGAAGTGCAGCTCACTGCTCTCCTCTGTCCCTGGCAGCCTGCTTCCTCGACTCGATGGCGACGCTGGGGCTGGCAGCCTACGGCTACGGCATCCGCTACGAGTACGGCATCTTCAACCAGAAGATCCGGGACGGGTGGCAGGTACGGACAGAGACACGCGGCCCTCACCTTCCCCCGGCACAGCCGAAGCCCCAAGTCTGGCCTCTCCCTTAAATCGGGCCAAGACCAGGGTGTACGGACACTCTCCCTTAGCTTGGGGACTGCTGGAGCCAGAGTTGGTGCTGTGATATTTAAAACTTGTCAGCTGTTTTCTCGAACGAGTTTAACTTCTGAAACCGGTGCAAGCACATAGCATCCCTCCCTGCGCAGGGAAGCTCATCCGTCATCCCGGCTGGCTCCGGTGCGTGGGGCTGGGGATCACCCCAGTGTCACGGTTCTCAGTCGAGCCCATTAGCGGCTCGGTGCGGCGGCATGGAGGGGAGCGGGTCCTCTTCCCAGCACGCCCCGCTAATTAGCAGAAAGCTGTGGGTCATCAGCGTGACATCCTTTCCTCCCGAGCCGGGTTTGTGGGGGTGCCCGCCCACATAGCGGGGACGTGAGCCGTATCTCTGCCAGGAGCAGGGCCCCTCTCTGGGGCTGCTGTAGGAGCAGAGAGGACGGTGCTTCCACCTCTCCAGCATCCCCGCCTCCTCCCACACGGAGCCGCAGCCGCCCCGTGCTTCCTCGCAGGGGCTAGCGGGATGCTCTCCTTGGGAGTTTTCCGGCTGCTGCAGGCTGCCCTCATCCACGTCTGCAGCGTGCCCTGCTCAGGGCCAGCACCACCACGAGAGCTGCTCCGTGGCCGTGTGGAGCAGGCAAGGATGGAGAAGTCGTCTCCCTGCCCCTGGCGGGGTGGGGATGGTTTTGCTGAGGCGGTACGGGGATGGTGTGGGGAAGTCCGGGGGAGGCCAGATCCAGCCCCCCAGCCTGGCTGTGCTGCTCGACGCCTGGGTTAAAGCATCAGAGGGTAGAAGAGGCTGTTTTGGAAATACCACACTTTCCATTGCATCTGCAAAGCCCCTGGTGGGAGACAACCCTGAATACCTGGAGGGACCCTGTGAGCATCTCCAAAAAGCTCTATCTACAGCTGGCAAGCGGAGGCCTTTCCTCCTCGGTGCTGTGAACTAGCCATTCCCTGGCTGCTGCGTCCTGACGGGGCTTATCTCCCCTGGCCCTCACGCGATGTCCCTGCCGCCCGGAGCTCTGACCTGGCCGTGCCAAAGGTGATGTCTAACCCAGGCTCTCCCCTCTAACAGCCCTGCCGGGCTAGGGAACAAGCCCGCTTCGTTAGCCAGCCTGCAGGCTGAGATCACAAGTCAAATTAAGAGGGCTAACGGCGTCTCGGTCGCAGCATGGCAGCATTAGTGGTGCGCTAAGAGAAATGTTGCTTTCATCCCCACCTCCTCATTCCCATCCATCACCCCTCCGGCAGGGAGACCCCAGGGTCCAGGGTGGTCGGGGTAGAGCCCTGCCTCCGGGCTCACCCTGCGGTGCCGAAATCCGGGTTTAGGGCAGACTGGCTCCGAAGCATCATCCCCTTTGCCATGAGCAGCTGGAACCTTTCCCGGCCGTCCTCCATGCAGCACAACCCAGGGAGGTCCCCGGGGCTGGGTGGCCCCATCACCGCTCTCGCTCCCTCCGGCAGGTGGAAGAAGCCGATGACTGGCTCCGGCACGGCAACCCCTGGGAGAAAGCCCGTCCCGAGTACATGCTGCCCGTGCACTTCTACGGCCGGGTGGAGCACACCGCCACCGGCACCAAGTGGGTTGACACCCAGGTACGGGCTGGGGTGCAGCCTCGTCAGACCGGCGTGCGGGGAACCC